AGAACTTCAAGCAAGGAGTTTCTGAAAGTTAGGGAAAATCATATTTTTTCCTTGTTTTATTTTTTCAATTTTTTCTAACTATAGATAATTTCGTGAGAAATTTTTTAAAACCTTGAAATTTTTTTTATAGAATTTTTCATATTAAACATTAATTTAAGTCCCCAAACATTAAAAAAAATTTTATGTTACAGAAGATATAGTACAAAATTACAAGTATTGTGAGCCATAAATTTAACTAAAATCAAACCAGATGTTGATAAAACTAAAATTAAATTCAATTTAATATTCCTTTATCAAAAAATTTGAAAAAATAAGAACTTCTTAGCCAAAAGTTTTACAAATTTCTCAAAACAAATACCAAATTTTCCTATGAAATTTACCTAATTCGGCAACAATTTATGTTTTTCTTCTTTCAAATTTATTTCTATTTAATCGCATATTTTAAATTAATTGCTTTACTGGAACACCTCTTTAGTTGCATCAACCGTATGCCAATTTAGTTTTTGTAAAAATATGTTTGAAATTTATTCTTCCCGCATTAAATGATTTGTTAACTTCATAATGTTAATACTATGTCATTTACAAACTCCATTTTGTGCAAAAAAATAAATTTTCCTATTAAAAAATTTTATTAGAACAAATGTCAAAATTTATATGTCATGCCTTTAAAAATTCGTTCCAGGTGGACAATTTTAAAATATTTTTTTTTCAATTTTTTAAATTGCGCCCAAACTGAGCAAAATGCATTTAAAAATTTCAAACCATATAGGTACTATTTCTTATAAAAACTGGCAAAATAAAAAACTATCAATTTTTTTTACCAAGAAAAGTTTCGAAAAAATTTTTTGATTACTAGATTTTTTTGTAATTAAAAATTCTTTTTTTTCTAAAAAATTTAAAATTCTCAATCCAATTTTTCTTTTTCAAAATAAAAGTTTGTATAGAATTTCGTTTCAATATTATTATTATTTGTTACATTTCAATAAAAACATTAAAATTCAGATTTTTTATCAAAATAACGGCTCTTCAAAATGTCAACTGTATTTTCGAGTGATTCTTGTCATCAAAAATTAATGATAGTTGATAATTACAACGTTTAAAATTTTTGCCTTTATGTGCCTTTAAAATTTAGACATAGAAATGGTTTCTTTACATCTTCTGTACATCTTCTGTAACATAAAAAATTTTTTTAATGTTAGAGGACTTAAATTAAACCTTAAGCAGTCCTTTATTAAGACTTTCTGACACTGCTTGTTTGAAGTTCCTATCTTTTTCAGCACCGAAGTTATAATCAAAAAAACCTGGGTAAGTAAGAATTCATTAAAATCCCTGGAACAAAAGTTTTACCCATTTTCGATCTTCTTACCAACGGTATATGTTGTTGTACAACTTTCAGAATCACCCCGTATAATTACATATCAGGAGACGATCAGATCAATTAAATCTGGTTTAATTAATATACCTTATCTTTACCCTTGCGTATTCCTGTAGTATATAGGTATATTATTCATCAACTTTTCCATTTAAATTTTTTTGACTTGCACCGAATTTAATGCCTGTTTAAATAAAATTTTGTCCATTTAGAACATAATATTTTTAACACGTTAAGTCACAATGCATTGTCGGTGGAAAAATTGGAATTATTAGCGAAAACCCCTGCTCCCCGGATGAATTTTTACTGTTTTACACATGGAATTTAACGTAAGTTTTTCTTTATATGCCCTACAAAGCACACTAGATTTGATCACCGGTAATACATTGGGACTCAAAATAAAAGTATTTTTTGCTCACCGGTGAACAAGAGACTCAAAGTGCTCAGATATATAGTTTGATTTCTCACACTCATAAAAAATATTTTTATATTTTATCATAAAAGGGCAGTTTTTCAAGGAGAAACATTATATATATTTACTCAATATAAAAAGGAAATATAGGTAGGTAATGTGTAAAATATATTGTGTTTGAAATAAAACAACAAAATTTGAATTCCCACAGGTACACCAACACAGGGAAATTGTAAATTTGGAAAAGCAAATTGACACTGAAATAATTTCAAAAAGTCTTTATTGTAACGCAATAGGAAGTCTACGACTACCTCGGTGGCCTAATTATAAAATAAAAAGAATATAAATTTACAATATCAAATTACATAGAAAGAACAGTGTAAACAACACTTAATGTTCAATGCAAATAATTACTCAGCATGCCTACATACTAATTCCACGTAGTATGAACGCCTTTTTCTAACAACTAAAATTTCTTAAATCTTAAATCTAAAACCTACACACAATTATGTAAATTTCTAATATTTTTAGTAAGATAAACAATCAATTTATTTATAATAGCTACTAAAGTGGTCAGTGGCGTCTAATAAATTATATAGAAAAAAAATTACCCCATTATCTAACATAATTTTACTCTTATAGTACATTCTTTTTTTTTGCACAGTATGAGAAAACCTAAACGAAGAAAAAAAACAACAACACTTGAAGAATGTTATTAAAAATAGCAATTTTCTTAAAGTGTTTTCTTTTTTTTCATAATATCCATTTTAAATCCCCTTTAAAAGTCCTTGAATTAATCTCAAATTTCATCATCATTAAAATTAAAAAGAATTTTTAAAAATTTTAATTTATAAAAAATTAAAAAAATTCGCACATTCAACCATTGTTTTAACAATCTTCAACACTTATTTTTATTTTTGGTTTTGACTTCTTTGGCAAAAACCAAAAAAAAACTGAAACAAAACACCAAAACAGAAACGGAAGAACATTAAATAAGAAACATTATTGGTCTACTGCTCATATTTTAATTTTGATTTCTGTTGTGGCTCCTTTAAGTGGATTTGCAATTACAAATCTAATTGTGTGGTCAAATTAAAAATGCCCTCTGTGTATATAATATTTAAGATAAGCTAGAATTAAGAATTTAAGTCGGCTGGGTCAATATTATTTTTGTTTTGTTATAACTCTTACATATTGCATAGATGGAAACAGATTTTTATACTTAAGTGTGCTTTAACACTGTTGTTTATATGATATTGTACTATAAAGAGTATAGTTATTATTAAATTTGTATAAATAATATATTAAGCCATTATATATATATATATATATATATAAATATATTCGTAACACACATATTTCTATATATAAATTTATTATTTATGTATAAAACTAAAATTCTTCCTGGTCTCAACTTTTGAAGTGGTTGAAATTTTTAATTTTGTTTTTCACTTTTCATTCAAATTCTAAAATAATATTTTTTATAATTATTATTTAATAAATTTTAAAGAACTTTCTTAAGTTTTATTTTTTTTATATGCATATATGTGTGTATAATATATACATATTTAATTTTTTATATGTTGGAATAAAAGTAAATTTAAATTTATATAATTATATGGTGTGCTCATCAACAATTTTAAAGATTTCCATAATATATTCTCAAGTATTTTAAAATTGAACTTTTTACTTCATAAGTTCATAATATAATAAAATACTTGTTGAGCAACTCTTTGCATTCTCTTGTTCGTCCTAATATTTTCATTTTGCGTAATTGTTGTTATAAGAAGTAAAATCTCTTTAAGCTCTTTAAATTGATTTTAATTTGTTTTCTTAATTATGTAAAGTATTCTACATAGAAATGAAATTAAATTAATTTTATTTATTCGACCTAAGGCCCTCCTACCCTTTCTTTCCTCGAACAATTTTCTATATTTTATACAATAGGACAGTTATTTGTTTGCATTTGAAATATTCTTAAAACTAAATAGGAAAATAAATCAACCACTTGGAGTGAACATGATCAATTTTATTCTATTGTTATATTATGTATGGGTACATGTAAGTTTGTGTGTATATAAATATTACAAACTTTAGATTTATTATTTGATAATATTGGTCAAGAAAAATTTTATTGTATAGTAAAACATTTATAATGCGCTGTTTTATATTATTAATAGTACAGAACTTTGGAAAATTTCAAAAGTATAATGAAGAACTGAAATTGCAACTCTTATAAAATATTTTAATGGTTGCATGAGCAGAAAAGATTTCAATAAGGATAATGCTTTTGTTACAGTTATTCTCTGTACCGTTTAAGAATTTTGTTTTATCTATATGAAAGTGTTAAGAGTGAATTTAGTTAATATTTTTTTTGCGAAAGACCACAAGATAGAATTAAAATTTTTCATAATTTATTCGCCTGTCACTGATCTTCTAATATCTATTATTAGCAATTATATTAGAAAATGGCGATAAATATAAAAATAATCCCTTATACGTTTTTGTCTCAATGGGCGATGAGAAAGACAAAAATTTATTCAATAAATATGTTTTATAATAATTGATTAACATTATTTGTACTTTGGGAATCGAAATATCTGGTTGTCTATTATTATTATAAAGCAAAAATCCCATTTTCTGTATGAATGAAAATTATGGCAGGCGGAACGGTACTGCATATAGGTGCTGCAATTTAGGGGTTATAAAATAATATTTTTAAAACAACATTTTTTTAAATTTATTTTATGATCAACTCGTTTTGTTATTATTGATTTCAAATTTTAACTTTAAAAATTTATTCTGAAAGCATATAATCTTAATAATTAAGAAAGATTTCGTAAATGAATCCTTCCTATAGGAAGGATATTAACAGTTAAAATGTAATATAAATTTAAACTATTTATTTTTAAATTATATAGTGCTATGCCTTAAGTAAAATAATTCCATATCAACACATATATACATCATATTTAGTATCTTTCATATTTTAGTCTTAAGCTATTCAACATATACATACACTATGTATACAATTACAAACTCTTATTCCTATGTGAAATGTAAGAAATTATTATAATCCAAACAAATTTTATTCATTTTTTAAAATTTACATATTCAGTCAATTTCAACATTTTCATTTTCTTCCATTGTTTCGCTATCACCACTACTATCATGTTGATAACAATTATTACTATTATTGTTGTATATTATCCTTTTTGATGTTGTTTGAAAATTTTCGCCACTATTATGGTTACTATTATTGTTTTCGGTAAGTGATTGCGGTGTAACTGAATCTTTAATTCTATCTGATGGTGATTCAATAGAATAATTATTATCTGTACGATTAAGTTCATCTGATTTACAAAAATTTATTGGAACTTTTGAAGTGCTATTATTATTACTGTTTGAAATTGATGGAAAACTTTGTGGTAAAACTTTTGTATCATCATTTGAAACTGATGTTGGAGACGATATATTGCTATTTGTTAAAGAATTTGTTACTGTTGGAGTTGTTGATGTTATTGTTGATGGAGGCGGTGGTGGCGGCGGTATAGCAGTTGGAATTTTTGTTGGATAAAAATATGGAAATGGTACTTGTGGTAATGGAACACCATATGCCATTTGTAACTATATATAAAATAATAAAATTTAAATTATTATAAAATTTTTAACATTAAATGCATACATATGTAAATGTCAATTAATGTTTTAAATTTCTTACTTGATGTCTATAAATATTTATCAAAGTTGGATCTAAACCGTGTGGATAATGTCCTTGTCCAAAAATATGTGCATAATGTCCATCATCACGTACTAATACTTGTACAGGTACCCGTTTACTAGCACTTAATATTGCTGCTTCATGTTGTTGTATTTGTTTACGTTTTGTTTTATAACGACGATTTTGAAACCATATTTTAACTTGTGTTTCAGTTAAACGTAATGTTTTTGCCATTTCTGCTCTTTCGGGCCCAGACAAATAACGTTGCTGAGCAAAACGTCGTTCTAATTCAAAAACTTGAGCATGACTAAATGCGGCACGTGATCGTTTTTTACGATTATTATTTAAATTCTCATCAGAATTATGCATTTGATTGAAACCGGATGGTGGAGGTGAATCACAATCTATTGTTATAATTTTTTGAATAAAGAAAAGAGGGTTAAGTTTTTTCAATAGAGAATTACTTACAATTATAATTTGTTTTCTTTATTTTTACTATTATTTTGTAAAATATTTTATATATAATAGGTTATAATGATAGTAGCGATTAAGTATGTATAGTTTTTTAAGTTGATATTTTAGTACCAGGTTGTACAAGGATAATAGAGTTTTTTTTTCAAAAATATAACAATACGGAAAAATTTCTTGTTGTTTTTTTTAATAAAATTAAAAGCTTTTAAAAATAAATTATTATTTATGGTATTGTCATTGTGTATAAAGCCAATTTAAAGTAATGCACAATAGTTTTCGTTCTCAATTCAGAAGTATGAATCGAAGGTAACTTAATTAAGCAAATCTATTCAAAGCAAATATTATCTATAAAAGTGTAAATTAAAATGAATAATAAGTTTATTATTAATTATGTAGCTAAGGGCAACATTTTTTTTAAAATTATTTACATACATACATATATGTATAAATGCACAATACACGCGAAGTTTAATAGTACTGCATTATCTTAAAATATTTATTATTCACTATTAATGTATGTGATGGTTTGAACTACACAAGCTATTTATAATTAAATGTAAATTGTCGTTTTGTAGAGAGCATTCTTTAATTTAAAAGCATTTCAATATCTTTATAGCTAAAAAAAAACTAATAATTTAAATCTTGGTTATATAATTTTACATGAATTCCGCTATTAATTCAAGGCGACAAGATATCTACATATGTTATATAAAATTTTATTTTCAATTTAATTCTCACTGGTGTCGGCAAAAAAATTTTATTCCTTTTATGGTAACGTACAGTCTTGAATTTTAAGCATCTTTTGACTTGTGGAAATTTTCAAGATTTTTTCTAGTATTTTCTTGACTCTATTTGACATCTTTTGTCTCAAGTTTTTTCGCGAACTTTTCGAGATCTAAAACCTAACAGAATAATTTTTGACAAAATCCCTGAAAAACACAAATTATAGAACTATTAAAGATATTTTCAATAATACACCGTTGTCAGGCTATTTTCAAGAAAGTTCTACCACATTTAGCGAAAAATTTCTATTTTCGTGCGGAAGAGTTATTTGGGTCCAAAAATTGGATTAAAATTAATTTCCAAACACTAAAAATTTAAAAAAAAAAAATAGTTTAAATTTAATTGGAACGGTTGAATTTTATTAACGATTGAAAATTTTAGCCTAGATTTGTCAGCTAACAGTAGAAATTGGAAAAATCAAAATTTTAAATATAATCAAGTGATTAATTGAAGGGGCTAGTAATAAAATTATTCAATTGAATTTTATAATTATGTGGTAATGCAGAAGTATCTTGATTTAATATATCATGAAAACAAAATCAAACATAATTTTTCATTTATTTAGTTCATTATAATTTAATTAAGTTCATTATAGTTTAATTTCCATGTTTGCGCATATAAAATATCGCTGATCAAAATAGTATTATTCAATTTACCTGAATCACTGTTACATCTTCTCATATCAATTGGACAATCTCTTGAATAATTACACCTTTGATTATTTTCATCATGAGATGTTAAAAACATTTTTATTTTTGTACGATTATCATAATTATTTAAATTATGACTACTGTTATTATTGTTATTATTACTATTAATGCTATTATTATTATTATTATTATTATTATTAATATTAATTGAATTTTTAATTATATTAAAATTTTGTTTTAATGATCCCTCAGTTAATCGTAAATCCACAAATGAGTTATCAGTTTTTTGCTTATTATTATTCTCAATAAAATCATTTTTTGAACCATTATTAATGTTTAAATTATAATAATTACAATAATCATTTTGACATTCTTGTTCTGATTTTGAGTTATCATCAATTGTCATTGGACTTTCATTTGAATTGTCTCTAGAATTACGTTGATAATGTTGTTCCATAAATGATCCAGAATTAATTCGATGATGATATAAAATTCTTTGAGATTCTATATTATTACCAATTTGATGAATAGAGTCATTTGATTTCCGACGGATAAAATATTCATCATTATTTAATGACCGCGGTGTTATAGTTGTATTATTACGTGTTAAAATATCATTAATTGAAAATGGTGTTTTATTATTACTTAAAATAAATTCAGAATTTTCCATTTTTATACAGTTTGCTTATATAATATTAATATTTTTATAATTTCTAATCACTTAAAATATTTCCAATTATTTTATAATTTCTTTTTTAAGTTTTATCTTTTATATTATGGCAATTAGATTTTCCTTCAACCGTATTAGACGAATGCACTTGCTAAACTGAAATTTTCTTTAATTGGGAAATTATTTTTAAATATAACTAGAAAAATTGGAAAATCTTTCTGTAATAAAAACAATAATAGATTTATCACAAAAGTAAACATACACATAAACAGAGCGAGCAATATTCTATAAAGTGGAATGAAGTGCACACAATATTGACTAAAAAATTATGTGTATGTGTAGTTGATATTTAAAAGTGTTTAATATTCACCCATAAAATTATATTTATTGTTCTTATTACAATTAATATTACACTTTTGTGTTTTCTGTTATATTGAAAAACCACGTGGAATACACACACACTAAAATATTTTTGTGAAGAATGTGTTGGTTAAAATTCATATAAGATTTCTATAAGCATGGTATATGTAATACGTAATCTAGCAATTATAAGGACTTAAAATAGATGAAAACTTCATTATTTAACGTTTAACCAATGTGAATTTTCAATTCTCATACAAATAAATTCTCCTTATTTGTATTAGTTTTTTGAATTATCGTAAGCGTGCGAAGAATATTTTTGAAGTTTGGGAGGGACAAATAAAAAATTTAATTTGCAAAATCATTTTAAATAAACCAATTTTTCTTTAAAAAATAGAGATAATTCGAGATTATATCCAATGTTTCAACGATGATCAACAAAATATATCACACTTTTTATCCATAAAAAAGTAGAGTTTCTACCGTATTGGTTTTGAACAACGAAGAAGTGAAGTAAATGGATATGATGTTATTATTCCCTCTAGCAACAAGAACTTAAATATTAAATTTCACAATCAATTCCGAATGTCAATAAATTATGTCAGTTAGGTTTTTAGATATAATAAAAAATGTTATATTGGTTACAGATACTTCTATTTTTGACCCCTGATATTCTTAAAAAAACTAATGATTCACTGTTTTAATAACCAGATTTCAAGGAAACAAGTTTATTATTTCTGCGTTTATGAAGAAAAAATAAGTTCGGCATTCAGTCCGAACCTGTTGACCTGAAGTCCTCTTACTGATAAATTATTTCCTTAAGAACTTAGCGACTATATAAAAATTCAAAAACAATCACAAAAAAATTTAAAGATTAAAATAAGTAAAATCCACTTTTTTTGACCAGACATAACCCAAGTGGATCAAAACGTTCCATTTACAATTTTTTAGCATGAAGAACCACATTTCTTCCGAAAAGTCGACATGCGAAATTTTGCCCTATCAAATAACCTTCTTCATATTATGCAATTTGGTCGGAAAAATTAAACGCTGAACCACCCTAATAAAAAAAAGAGAAGTTGGTAAGAGAGAAATCTTTTTCTGTCTTTTTCACAACGTTCTACAAATGCAGCGCATTTTTAATGATTTTCATTGGCTGAATAATTTTAAAATTAAAATGGCTTTGATTGGGTATATTCTGTGTTGTATTGAATAAATATTTATAATGTACACATATGTATGTAGTAAATTATTACATTAGTTTAACAAGAAAAACTCTTAAAATGCACTTTAAAGAAGGGTGAAAAATTAATTGCCGTTTATTTACATATATTCATAAAGAATAAACGGGAAAGCGAATTTTAAAGCAAATTGTAGTTTTTAAAAGGTACGTATGCAACTAAGCAAATAGTTTGTATTATTTTTAGAATTGGTTTTATTCAAATATCAAATGTTGTTACTGAGGTGGTACGCAGATAGCCATTAAGTATAGAAAATTGTTTTGTAAAGATCAGTTTTGAATAGTTTAGTTGTTAGAATAATATTTTCAACTCGTGCATTAACTATATTTTTCAAATTTGTAGATTTTCAAAATCGGGGTAACAGTGCACCACTTAAGGGGGGGTCATACCTTACGACACATACGACAAGAGACCAATTCTTTTGATGAACTCGAGCACCTTTTGAGGCCCGGACGACCATAACTCCGTCGTCGTGAGAGCAAATTAATTATATAGTTGTAAGTGATTATTTTGAAAATATGGTTGTACATAAGATGACATCTTATATTACCTGGTTTTGAAATTTAACTTCGAAAGTGTAGAAAGTTAAACGAGACTATAATAAAAACGATTGGCATTTCAAAAATTTTTGATGGTATTTTGAAGGTATTTCAACTTTTTCCCGACCGCACTGCATACAATAAGTTAGGTTATGTGATGGCACCAACTTTTCCATATAGAGTTCTTAGTGGAAACGTACTTCTCCATAATAGGGAAGCATAAATAAACTATTTTTAGAGAGGTGTCTCTCTGTCTGTGTACGCACGCGTGTATCTCAAGTTCGGCTGAACCGATTTTTATGAAATTTTATATGTGAGTTTGGTTTGGGTATGTCACTGATTGACCAATCTTTTGGGTTATATTAGGCCTTGGGAACTGAATTTTTTTTTGCGAGCCAATTTTAGATTTTTGTCCATATAAAGAGAAATAATCATCCAATTTCCTTGAAATTTAATATTTAAATTTGGAGTGTTAAAGCAATAAACATATAAATTTTTTGAAACGATGAAGGCTTAGAAACCAAACTGGGGCCGATTTTACATTTTTTAAAATATCTACGGAATTGATTAATGGATATTTGACCTCTGGTTGTTGTCGAAACTAACTGGTGACCTTTCAGGGAATTCGGATGGTACAAATCGAGACTCTACTAAGAGTCAAATTTACATTTTTCTAGGTATGTTAACTAAGAGCTTACTAACGCCCTAAAATTTGGAAAAAAGTGTTTAAAAGGCATTTTTATAATCTTCTATAACACTTTCACTTAACTAGACAATATACATTGCGGCCGGTTATGTGCTGACCACATCAGATTTTTTTTTAACTCATTTATTGAAACACAAATTCTATCGAAAATGGTTTTAAGTAAGTTTAAATATATTTTATGCTAAAATGTAATTATATAAGCATAAAAAAAGCATTAACAGTTTTCAAAAAAAATATTAATAGATATGGAATTTCGATGAACCTGCAATTTATAAAATAAAAAATCAATATATCAACTAATTTAAATATTTCCATAATATCTAATATTAAAAAATACTAGCAAAATAAAATCAATAAAATAAAATAAATATCAATAACCTTCAACATTTAATATAAAGAAAAAAATTACGGTAGGCTCGTCACCTACTTTGTAAATCCAATGACGCAATAAACTGGTTCATGCAACTACAATATCATATACCAACCCTTTGCTCCTGTCAGGAGCAGGATAAAAAAATGTACGGTATAATAATTGCTATAAAAATGTAGGAATAAAACACAGAATTGTCAAAATAAATGAAAACTCCTACATGAGCTTATAAATTCTTCAATTATCCTGAAATAATTCAGTGTTTCAGCATAAATTTTTTCGAAAATTATTACTCTTTAAAATATCGCTCAAAATTAATGAAAAATTAATTATGGTAATAAGAGGTTTCTTTCTCGTTTTTAGCACTTTTCCAAAATTTTTTTGAAAAAAAGTGCTTATTAGTTTCACTCTGTCCGTCCGTGGACACTTTTTTCGTTTACAAAACTTCTACACCCTTGAAGATAGAAAGCTGAAATTTAATAAGTACATAGATCTTTACTAGAAACTTATTTCCGTAGAACAAAATTTTTACCTATCTCTCCCCCTCTAAAAGCTATACCCCCCAAAATCCTAAAAATGCCCTTTTTTAACTATTTGTTGCAATGAAACCATAAGCATTTTTCATTCAAACTATAAGTTAGAAGAAAATTTTTTTCCATCTCCACCCCCTCTCAACTTATCGACTCTTGAAATTGGTAAAATTTGAATTTTTGATACTTTGTATTTCCGAAACCGCAAGCTTTTTCAAATTTCTATAAACGTAAAAAGTTAACGCTAAATTCCATAACATTAAAAAATATAATTATTTTTCTTAACTCACGTAATTAGCCCTTAAAATCGAGCATTATGTTAAGCCCTCTTTAAATTAATTTTTGCTTGCATAAATGAAGCAAAAAAGTATTGAAAAACAGTATTTTCGATAATTGTTGAAGGGAAAAGTGCTACAATACAAACCATTAGTTTGACCATACTTTATCATTACTTAGACGTATGTATAGTGAAAATAAAAGTTTTTGATGTAAATTGTAAATTGTAATGTATAAATCGTAAGTTTTACCGATTACACTGTTTAATATTTTTATACAAACATTTTGAACTGTAGTTAATCAAACCAAAAACAACACATTCTTTTGCTGATCATAAATGTGATTATAATCGTCATAATTTTATTAAAAGTAAACCAATTTGAAAATTATATCAATAAAATATTTTTATAAATAAATCAGGCTTTTTTATCACTGCTTCTTTGGGCA